ATATATTAAGAACTATGTAATGTTTTGAACGACCAACAATAAAAAAAAAAGGTATTTATGGATGAATGAAGAACCTGTTAAATGGAAGAGTATACAGATATAGACATTAACTAGAGTAAAAATTAGTTTTGAAAATGTGAAAAGATTTATGGATGCAGGAAGCTGAGGTGGCTCGGCTTAGTTTATTTAGTTTGCTTGGGTTTTTCGTTTTATTTTGGTACTGGGGATTGAACCCGGGGTTATTTTACCACTGAGCTGTATCTCCAGCCCTTTTATTATTATATTTTTTTTTTGAGGCAGGGTCTCATTAGATTGCTTAGGGTCTTGCTAAATTGCTAAAGCTGGCCTCAAATTTGTAATCCTCCTGCTTCAGCTTCCACTGGAATTATAGACCTGCACCCTGCTCTTGGCCTAAGGTGACTGGTTCTAAGAAGAACCAAGCCCAGATACAGGCAAGAGAAAGTCCTTGGGTTGGTTATAAGCCTGTCCCTAATATCTTTTTTCTTCCAACCTCAATCAGGACCAGAATCTCTGAGCCCTACCCTACATTCTTAAGAGAAACTCTGAAAGCAGAAGAGGCTTTCCACCAAGAGGAAGATGGAGAACCACTCCTAGAGATTTATTATAATCTGTTTCCTCTTTGGCTCTTGCTCTATCACATATATGGAAAACTCAAATAACCAAGCATCCCAAACATAGATCTTATAAATAAATCAGTAAGAAGTTAGAAGCCCCTCCCAACCCCATCTACTCCTCCCCTATCCTGCTATCTTGATGAAGCACCAAAGTCAAGTGCACAGTAGGAAGACATAAAGTATGAAGAGGAACACTTAATAAAGAACTTCTAGAGGAGCTGGGGATGTGGCTCAAGTGGTAGCATGCTTGCCTGGCATGCGCGAGGCACTGGGTTCGATCCTCAACACCACATAAAAGTGAAGTGAAGATATTGTGTCCACCTAAAACTAAAAAATAAATATTTAGGGGAAAAAAAAAAAAAAGAACTTCTAGGGAAGTTCGGAGATCTCAAAGGACCCTGGTGCACAGCCAAAGAGCTGACAAGGTCCAGGCCACGACTCTTCAGAGCAACAGAAAGCAGTTATAATCTCCTCTCAGCTCTGCTGTCACAGAAAGTTAATTACTTGTTGCATCAGCACTGTCAGAATCATCCTGGGGAGAGAAAAAAAGACAAAGCACCTGGAGGCTCTACAAAAAATGAACATTTATGTTTATAAATGCTGCTCCCGGCTGCCTACTCTCCATGTTTCCTCTCTGTTACCTTCTAAAACATACTTCTTAGGAGGCTAATAATGAAGGATTTTAACTTTGGATTATAAAATAAACCCTGGCACTCAATAAATAGCACTCTATTATGCATCACTTAGTTCTAGAATTTCAATAATTCTACCAATCCTACAGCTGTAAAGATGCTCAACAGGACCAGATCTGCTCTAGGATAGTGAAGGAGGGAGGGAGATGGAAGGGAGGATGCTCTTGGTTTTCTAAAACTTGCAGAACATTTGTCAAATTCAAATTTGGTTAATATGCACTGAGAACTATTGTGTGCTAGAGACCGGGATAGAAACTTTCTAGTGTGTTATTTTTTAAGGCCTAAAAAGAAACTCAAGAGTGGCGGGAAAGGCATTACTTACATCCAGGTCATCCATGGCAGGTGGAGGTCTCTTGGTGCTGACCTTTTCCAAAAGCTAATGGGAAGAAAAAATAGTCCCAAGAGTCAAGGAGGGTGAGGGAAGGATAACCTGCATACTGATGGACTACAGAAGAATGGTCCCAGCCAGAGCCTGCCAGGCAACTACTCCCATCTTCAAAACCCATAACACATCACTGAAATTAACTGGAGCCTGTCACGTGGCACATGTCTATAATTCCAGCAGCTCAAGAGGCTGAGGCAGGAGTATCGTGAGTTCAAAGCCAGCCTTAGCAATGTAGTAAAGCCCTGAGCAATGCAGAGAGACCCTATTTCTAAATAAAATATTAAAAAATAGCTGGGAATGTGGCTCACTGGTTAAGTGCCCCTGGGTTCAATCCCCATACAAAAAAATTTAAAAAAACAAAAGTTCATTGTAAAAAAAGTAAACTTAAATACACATAGTCTTTACCCTTACTAATCCAGATTCATATCCCACCCCCTTCTCAACAGTGCTAGGGATCAAACCCATGGCCTCACACAGTCGAGGCAAGCACTACCACTGAGCTACATCCTCAAGCCATGATACACACTTTATACTGTTTGGCGTTAGCTTCCCACGCAATGTTCTGGCTCAGGAAGAAAAAAAAAACACACATAGAAAATAAAAGACAAGAATGTAAGTACTATGGGAAGCAATTTTGCTAAACTTGTACAGAACACAGGCTATTCTAGGAATAGAAATTGAATCTATATATAATTTCAGTAATCTTTATTCCTCTCATCCCTACTAAACACTGCATGAAATGTGTAAAGAATAACAACACCAATGAATACCCTACTAAGGATGCTGGACTATCCCTGCTTGGTCCTAATGACAATTCTCCAGAGAAATGTATGCAGACAGACACAGAGAATGACCAAGATGGGCAAAAACCAGCAGGTGCTATATCTCCTACCTCTGCATAATGCTCCACGTGAGCCAGCTCTACCTCTTCATCCCCTTCCCAGTCTCTCCAGTTATCGAAGTCCACAGACAGCCATACTGGCTGCAAGAGGAAATACAGAGAGTCACAGGCAGGAAGAGCAGCATCAGGAATGCATGAAAAGATTATCAGTATGTGCATAGAAGGGTAAGAGGGTCAATGCGGTATAGTATTCCCAACAGCATCCCTTTTGACCAATTCCCCTCCAGGCTGATATGTTGTCGTTGGCATCCACAAATATTTACCAAAAAATCTACTAGCTGCTAAGCACAATGCCAGAAATGACAGGAAATGTAAAAGCATAGAAGCCTTGCCCTTAGGGGGACAACACATCTGGAAAAATATCATAAAGCATCATAGGAGTCAGTCAATCAAGACAGACAAGTGGCATTCCCTGGAATCAGAGGTGACACTTTGAGGCCCATGTTCCAAAGTGTCCTCATTTATAGAGGGAAGACATCATTCACACATTCATTTAACAATATTTATTGAACATACACTATGGGTCAGACTCTGAGTTTGGTACTGGGATTATAAAAATGTTCAACAGAGTTTCTCAGCCATCAGGAAGAAAGTGGGGGAAAGATACATTAAAAAAAAAATCCACGACAGTCTTGCACACAGTGTGAAAAGTATGGTGGTAGGATGAAACAAGGGATATCATGGGAACCCAGAAAGGAGGTAGGGGAACCCATACTTCTTGGAATAGCAGGGCCTTTAAGGATATGCAGGGGTTAGGTAGGTGAAGGCAAGAATGGTGGTAGATTTTCAGGAAAAAGACATGGCTTGAACAAAGTTACAAAGGTGAGGAAAACCTAGTTTGTACCAAAAAACAAAAAACAAACAAACAAACAAAAAACACAGAAACAAAACACTGCAAATAGCTTGCTGTGTCTGGAATGTAAACATGGAGCCAGAAAGTATGGGATGGGATTCTTGCCTTGCTACAGTACTTGGAATTCAACCCAAAGGGCAGGAGTTACAGCTCAAATACCTAAGAAAAAAGGTCAGGGAGGTAATGAAAAAGAGTAACCTGAGGTGAAGTGCATACCCCATTTAAAGCTTCTATTCAGCATTTGGGAATTTATATTAGCATAACCAGATTCTCCCAAATTGCAAAGAAGCTAATAATCTGAATTTGTAGATAAAATAACTTACATTTTTAAATGCCAGCAAGCAATAAAAAATGTAAATGAAACCAATCAAAACAATTTTTATGCCAGGTAATGGTAGTACACACCAGTGATTCTAGTTATTCAGGAAGCTAAGGCAGAAGGATAACAAATTCAAGGCCAACCTGACTAATTTAATGAGACTGTGTTTCAAAAATAAAAATAAAAAATTTTAAAAGGGTTAGAGATGTAGCTCAGTAGAAGAGTATCTGCCTAGCATGCATGAGGCCCTGGGTTCAATCCCTAGTACTAAAGGAAAAAAAAAAATTGACACTGTGAAAAATATTAAAATAAATGTGAAAAAAGTCAGATTCATCCAGTAGGTGGCCAATTTTCAAGCTTTGGGTTTTTTGTGATTGTTGTGTTTTGGGTTTGGGGGTATTAGGGACTGAACCCAGGAGTGCTCTATCATTGTCCTAGATTAACATCCTTTTTATATTTTACCTTGAGGCAAGGTCTCACTAAATTGATCTTGAACTTGTGATCATCCTGCCTCAGCCTCCCAGTAGCTGGGATTAAAAGCATGCATCACCATGCCCAGCTGAACTTTCAATCTTAAGGGGAGAAGCCAATGGAGGGTCTTATGTGGGAAAGTGTTAAGGTTAAGTATGTTTTAGACAGTCTGCTTGGAGCAACACAGAGGATGGATTGTGGATGGGGCCATAATTATGCAACAAACTTCCTCAAAGGGGCTGGGGTTGTAGCTCAGGGATAGAATGCTTGCCTAGCACTCATCAGGCACTGGGTTCCACCTTCAACACCACATCAAAATAAATAAAATATAGGTTTTGCATCCTTCTACAACTAATAATAATAATAATAGTAAAAACTTCCCAAAAAATACTGACGGAGGAGGTCTGAACCAGGAAGAAGTAATAATTTCAAAAATATTTAGGAGGTCAGCCAGGTATAGTGGTGACTGAGGCAGGAGTATCACAAGTTAGAGACTAGCCTCAGCAATTTAGTAAGACCCTATCTCAAAATAATAAATAAAGACTGTCTTTCCCTCTGGAGATAGCCTGCATTCTCCCTCGAATGTGTATTCCTTGCTTTACACCCAAGGCGTCTCTCTTGAAATTGTCCCCATTCTTCCTTTAATATATGTTTACTTTCCTAAATAAACCTCCATCTTTGTTTTTTGTTTGTTTTTTGGTACCAGGGGGTTAAACTCAGGGTACTCAACCACTGAGCCACATCCCCGGCCTTATTTTTGTATTTTATTTAGAGACAGGGTCTCACTGATTTGCTTAGCTCCTCACCATTGCTGAGGCTGGCTTTGAATTTGCTATTCTCCTGTCTCAGCCGCTGGGATTACAGGAGTGCGCCACCGCGCGGGGCTCCATCTATGTTTTAAAAAATTAAATAAATAAAAATAAAAAGGCCTGGGGATGTAGTTCAGTGAGAGAGCACTCTGGGTTCAGTTCCTAGTACTGGGGATATGGGTGAGGGAGGGCAGTATATTGAGTAGGAAGCAGGGCCTGATGAGTCATTGAATATTGACTGGAAAGGAAGCAAGGGCAATCCCAAAGGATGAACAGAGAGCACACAAGGAGCAAGCCACTCCTCACACACCTTGATATCTTCCTTGGTGAGCCGGGGCCAGGCCACCTTCTCCTTCCATTTCCTCACAAAGCAAGTAATAGAGCGGCCGGACCTCTTATCTTGGGAATCCTGCCAGATAGAAAACCTCATTCTTAGGGTCTGAGTTTTCATATGAATCTCCTGGGCACCTTTTCCATCCAAACCTTACTTGACGCACCCCACCCTCACCTTGGAGTTCACTTTGGCGTAGAATTCAATCTCGTTGTACAACTCCACTCCATCACCATTCCTGCAGCTACGGAAATAATGAAATTGAGATGTGGGAGCCTGGGGGTGGGGGTGTGGATTAGGAAAACAGAAGTTCCTGGGAAGCGAGCCCCTTCATAGAGGAGGGCCATTACCTGAACACAATGCGGTGATCCTCAATGAGCACATGGACATCCGTGCTGTCCTCAACACAAAATTCCATAAACACATACTTGGGCCTGTCATACCACAGGGTCCGGGCATGCTGCCTGAGAGGAGTGTGGTGGGGCTTCATAAGTGTGGAGAAGGGAATATAGGGCAGTTGGGTAAGATGAGGGAGGGGACCTTAAAGGAAGTTCGGTGCCGCAGTTCTGTTAAAGTGGAGCAATACAAGACAGAGGGGGAGGAAGGGAGTGACAGAAGTGCATAGATGTGGTGAGGATGAACCTAGGTCGAATCAAAACTCACCCTACAAGTTACAGAGTTCTGGGGTCTTGGGCTCCCATGGGCCTCACTGAACCTGGGGTGCGCACTAGACTGGAAGGGAATCTCCAGGGAAAAGGGCGGAGGGAAAAGGCCAGTACCAAGGCCGGAAACACTTACCGTGCCATGGCTGCTCCACCTGCCCAGTGGCATTTGGAGTCCCAGGCAAAAGCCTCTATCTTTAGATACTGGGGACGCCCCTAGCAGCTGCCTCTCCTTATATGGTCGAGGGAAGGGTTGAGAGGGTGGGGAATGTGACTCCACTGCCTAGAGATCTGCACTCTGGAGGGATTCTGGGAGAGTTTAAAACCTGTAGACTTTAACCTCTCAAAATCTACAGAAATGTACAGATGAGGAATAAACTGCGCACCCGCTTAAACCAGGAAAGGGCCATCCTAGACTCTGAACACAGGGAATGGCGTGTACTCGGCTTCATTTACCTGTTTCTCCAACTTTTAGTACTCTCTGCCTAATTCAGAATAGGCGCTCAGGAGAAAATTATTGGCTGGAAAGAAGTCCCTGAGGGGCGTACTGCCCTCGGGAGTACTGCCCTCGGGTACGACTAAATTTTAAGCCCCGCCCTCCACTCCTCCCCCTTTTCCCTGCCCGCGCGCCGTTGCCATGGCAGTAAGGGGGCGCGGCTGACGTTCAGCAGTGTTTCCGGAAAGATGGCTGCTGTGGACGCTGCTGAGGAATCGGTAGCGGTGGTGGCGGCTGTTGAGGCAAAAGCAAAGGACGAAGAGGAGGAGGAAGAGGAATTGCTGTCACCATGCGAGGCGGTGCGCTGGGCCCCAGTAGGGGCGGTGGCCGAGACCGGGCCTGGGGTGTCTGCATTTTCGGAAGAGGCAGCAGCCGAGGAGCCCGGCACGGCCCGGGGTTCCCCGCCGGACTCGCCCAGCTGTACCTTGCGGCGGTTGCGGGCCGAGCGGCGGCGGCTGGATTCTGCGCTACTCGCGCTGTCCTCGCACTTCGCGCAGGTGCAGTTCCGCCTGCGCCAGGTGGTGCGGGGAGCACCAGCGGAGCAGCAGCGCCTCTTGCGCGAGCTGGAAGAATTCGCCTTCCGCGGCTGCCCTCACGTCCTGGGTTACGAGGGGCCCGGGGACCCTGCCAGTGACGAGGGCGGCAGGCTGCCCGGGGACCGGCCACGGTTGAGGGGCGAGGACCAGGTGAGCGGCTGGGGCTGGGCCCCAAGAGATTTAGGAATAGGGAGTTAAGTGAGTGGCGTTGCTAACGCAGACGGAAGTATAAAGGGGAGAACAGACTCAACTAGGTGGTTATGGATAGATATGTCAGAGACAGGGAGACTGGAGCCAGATGTAGATGGCATAAGAGAACTAAGCGGCCAGGGAACTTTGAGAGGTGCATACTGAAGGTATGGGAAAAGTGCTCTGATGATGCGTGGAGAGGGAGCAGAGTATTGAGAAGACAACGGGACAACGAGTGCAGCGGTGCTCCCACTTATCTTACCCGCTCCTCATTAAAAAAAAAAAAAAAATCCTGGCCACCTTTTTTGGTGCTGGAGATTGAATCCAGTGCCTTGCGCTTGCTACCCATGGGATCTATCATGGAGCTACACTCTCAGTCTTAAACACTTTTGTTGATGGGGTATTCTGACTATGGGGATTAGAATTAGAAAGTGAACTGGAATCCATGGAAATTTAGATTAATTTCTGTGCTTTCCTGTAAATCTAGGTAGTCTTTAATCTTTATACCCTCTTATCTGGTGAGTACTTGGATGAACAGCACAATCTCCTATTAACTGAAAAAAACATGACACCTGATTATATAAATTTCCTAACATTGGGGCTGGGAATGTGGCTCAAGCAGTAGCGTGCTCGCCTGGCATGTGTGCGGCCCGAGTTCAATTCTCAGCACCACATACAAACAAAGATGTTGTGTCAGCCGAAATCTAAAAATAAATATTAAAAAATTCTCTCTCTCTCTCTCTCTCTCTCTCTCTCTCAAAAAAAAAAATCCTAACATTGGTATTTTCAAACTGCTCTTTCATCCTGCTTAATAACTAGATATTCTGAATGAGGTCTTCTAGTAACTGACAAAATGGATTCAGTTTCCCTGCGTTGAGAAGCAATGAAACTATGTATTCCACACCAAGAAAAAGTTTCCTTACAAGTTTTGAATCTCTGGAAGTGAATTCATGTAGGTAGCTTGTTGGAGGTGTTGAAACACACTGCCTTTTTACTCTTCAAATTACAACTCACATGTGGCTTTCTTCCCACTCAAATTGATTTTAGCCAACAAAGTTTATCAGCAGCAGATATTGACTTATTTTAATCAGAACAGTTTTCAGTGCAATCCTGTATTTACTGTTCCACCCTTTTTTCCACATCCACAGATAAGTACACAAGGAATAGCCACCTTAAATTGCCAGACTTGAAGATTAGAAAAGATAGAATTAGTTTTGCAAGGTCCATTTCAGGATGGAAAAGCACCAAAGATTCTATGTGAATATGGCACACTTCATTGTTCATTTTCACTTTCAGAAACAGTGTAGCACTATTTATTTTAAAAATGTTTTTAATCAGTTGTTTTTTGCAGTACTGGGAATTGAATTCAGGGGTGTACTCCCACCGAGCAAAGTCTCCAGCCCTTTTTATTTATTGATTTTTGTTTATTTATTTATTTATTTTTGGTACTGTGGAATTAAACCCAGGGGTGCTCTACTACTGAGCCTCCCCAGACTTTTTATATTTTTTCTTTTGAAAGAGGGCCTAAGTTTCCAAGGCTGGCCACAAACTTGCTGTCCTCATAACTAGGGTGGTGGCTCATGCCTGTAATCCCAGTGACTTAGGAGGCTGAGGCAAGAGGAGGCCAGCCGCAGCAATTTAATGAGACTCTGTATCAAAATTAAAAATAAAAAGTGTTGGAAATATGGCTCAGTGGTAGAGTGTCCCTAGATTCAATCCTTACTACCACACACACACAAAAAAACTTCGCACTCCTGACTCACCCTTCCAATTCACCAGGATTACAGGCATGTACCACCATACCCAGATGGTTTTTTATTTTGAGACAGGGTCTCACTAAATTACTGAGGCTGGTCTTGAACTTGAGATCCTTCTGCCTCAGTCTCTCAGGGTAACACTTAAAAAAAAACTAGTGGGTCTACGTAATAATAGATAGAATCATATGTGCATATGTTGATCTGTGAACAGGTAGTAACTAAGTGGGGGACATCTTTGAACTGAATAATTTACTTATTGGTTCCATTTTGTTGTTGTGTTGGTGATAGTGCTGGGAATGGAACCAAGGGCCTCACGAATGGTAGGCAAAGCCATATGACTGAGTTACATCCCCAGTCACCCCAATTTTTTTAAGCCAATATTTTATCTCAGTTCACACTAGGAATGATATCTATTTCCTGCTTTGCACCAGAGCTCATTGTTCTCTCCTATTAAATTTATTGCCCCACACTCCAGCAAATATCATACCATAGCTACCATAGCAAGAGATAGAATTCAGCAGATATAGTCCTGAAAACAGAATTGTGATTTATGTCTGATTTCTTTCTTCTTTGGCTTCACAAAGTTGGGATGCAATGAAAACAGAAATAAAATCTATTTTCCCAGGTCTTTCTCCTTAGGCTAGTTAGATAACTTCCTTCAGTCAGAGTTCATTATTTGGAATTTGTCATTCACTACTTAATTTAGTTCAGTAACATGTAACAAATATGTACTGAGAAGCCAGGAGCAGTGGTACACACCTGAAACCCAGTGACTCAAGAGGCTGAGGTGGCAGGAAGATCTCAAGTTTGAGGCTAGCCTCTGCAACTTGTGGAGATCCTATCTCAAACCAAAAAATTTAAAAAGACTGGAGATGTAGCTCAGAAGTACATCACCCCTGGGTTCAGTCCCCAGTACTGGGAGGAAAAAAAAGTACTGAGAACCCATCCTATGCTGGGCACTGTGCTTGGTATTGGTAATCAAAGTCAAGGCCCCTTACCCTTAAGAAGCTGAGAAATTACTGGAGGCAGAATCATAAAAGTGTGTGCAAAATACTGAGGAGGAAATTATCCTGCCTGGAGAAATCAGGAAAACTTCTTAAAGGCAAGCTAAGATTTTACGAAGCAGGGGAAAGAGGACAGGATTCCAGGAAAAAACTGCAACAGAAAGGTTTGGAGAAGGGTATCCTAAAGAAAGACTTGCTTTTGTGTTGAGCAAAGCTAATGCAAGAGGATTGCTTTATAAATACTTGAACAAAAAGTTAAATTTGTTGCTTTTCATTTTTTTCTCTCATGCAAATTACTTCTGGAGGGCTTGGTAAGTACCTTTTTAAGGTTAAATTTAATACTGTTATAGACTTCTAGTTTAAAATGTAGCCTTATACCTACAAATAATTTGCCGGTTTAGCGTTTTTAAATTTTTTTTTTTAAATTTATTTGTTTTGCAGTGCTGGGATCAAATCCAGGGCCTCAGATATTCAGGAGAAGTGCTCTACTGCTGAGCTATGCCCCCAGCACCTGCTTTTTGGTTTTGATAGTCAAGAAAGTCAAGGAAAAGCCAGTATCTAAGAATATATTAGCAGGACTTTACCATCTTGAAGATTTTTTAATAATTTAAGTGTAGAAATTATCTGGTAGCCAATAGCAAAAAAAGGAATTACTTCTAGAAGATCTTAACCAGACTTAACAAAACAAGGGGCTGGGGCTGGGGATGTGGCTCAAGCGGTAGTGCGCTCGCCTAGCGTGTGTGTGGCCCGGGTTCTATCCTCAGCACCACATACAAACGAAGATGTTGTGTCCACCGAGAACTAAGAAAAAATAAATAAATGTTAAAATTCTCTCTCTCTCTATCCCCACCCTCTTTAAAAAAAAAAAAAAAAAAAAAAACAAGGGGCTGGGGATACATAGCTTAGTAGTAGATTGCATAGGGCCCTGGGTTGGATCCAAAGCACTGCCCACAAATAAATAAATAAATAACAGTGATCATGACCTTCCCACTCCGTTACTTATAGATGTTTCTCCCTGGCACCTTCATTTGATTATTTTAATTTTTTTTAAGTATCCTATAATCTTATCAGAGAAAATGGAAGAGATTTGAACCTTAAGAAAATTGGTTATGAGTTAAAAAGCCTTTCTTTAAACCCTGACCCCCAGATTCTCTTGCAAAATTTAGCTGCACAAGGTATTCAGGAGTTAAGCTATGGTCTTTGGTTGTGGATGATGGCATGTTTAATTCCTGGGAGGCACTCTTGGCTAAGAACGGGTTGTCTCTATCCCAACTAGACCTTTAAAAAACAAAAAGTTTTAACAAAAGACTTCTTTGTATTTATATCCTGTTATCCTGTTTCCAATAAAGGACTTTGTGGGTTTTTTTTTTTTTTTTTTTTTTCAGTGCTGGGGATCAAATACAGGGCTTGCATGTGCTAGGCAAGTGCTGTATCACCAAGCTATGCCTCCAGCGCCAGAACTTCCTTTAAGAAAACATGTGTATAATAAATTGCCCTGTAGCTGGTGCACCCAGCCTATAGTCCTAGCTGCTGGTGGGAGGTGCTGGAATAGGAGAAACACTTGAGCCCATGAGCTCAAGACCAGTCTGGGCAACACAGTGAGACCTGTTTCAAAATAAATAAATAAATCACCTTGGGTGGAATAATTATTATTACTTTCAACCTATCTTGTCAATTGAGTGTTTCATATTTTCCTGATCATTATTGGTTTGAGGGGGGTGTTTTTGTTTTGTTTTGTTGGCACAGGGGATTGAATATAGGGGTATTTTACCATTGAGCTACATTTCCAGCTCTTTTTATTTTTTATTTGAGACAGGGTCTCACTATTTTGCTTAGGGCCTTGCTGAATTGCTGAGGCTGACCTCAAACTTGCCATGCTCCTGAGTTCTGGGATTACAGATGTGCATAACCATAGCCAACCAAAAAGATTCTTAAGGGCTGGGGATGTGGCTCAAGCGGTAGTGCGCTCGCCTGGCATGCGTGCGGCCCGGGTTCGATCCTCAGCACCACATACCAACAAAGATGTTGTGTCCGCCAAGAACTAAAAAATCAATATTAAAATTCTCTCTCTCTCTCTCTCCCTCTTAAAAATTCTCTCTCTCCTCTCTCACTCTCTCTTTAAAAAAAAAAAAAAAGATTCTTAATGTGTCATGAGTTTCTCTTCTGTGAAATGGACCAAGTATTTTTTTTTTCTTAGAGTGAGCGGGAAAAACAAGAGCGTCTGGAAACCCAGAGGGAGAAACAGAAGGAACTGATATTACAGCTCAAGACTCAGTTAGATGACCTGGAAACATTTGCCTATCAAGAGGGCAGTTATGACTCCCTGCCTCAATCTGTGGTCTTGGAAAGACAGAGGGTGAGCAGGCCTCAGAGGCACCTCCATCATTACACAAGGTTAACTTGTCCCTGCCAACATTCCCAGAATAGCTTCTCCAAGTTCAGTTTACCTGTGGCCTCACTGAGAATCCCTACTGGTTCAAATCAAAAGGAAATTTTACTCTCATATAGAGCCATTCTTTATTTACACATGGAAAATACATGTTCAAATTGTTTCTAATAATGTTGCTCGAAAATTTGTGCTGTAATATACCTTGATGTTTTATAGAGTTGTCCTTTGGTTGTCTAAAGTAAGGCAAGAAGAGAAAAGATTTTAAGAAAAATCAGTATACATTCTCTTGGAAACCTTTAGAGGAAACTAAATGTGAGGCCTCTTTGGGTTATTCATACTTTTGTTTTACTGAGTCTAACCTGATTGTCCTGGTAAAAAAATTACAGTGCGTAAAAGGAGCCATTTCTATCAGAGAGGAACTAAAGGTTCTTGTTATGTTAAAAGTAATAGAGCCTGATCTTTATCAACAGTTGGATATTCTCACAAATTTGGAGGTCTGCTGAGTTTTGATTTCCATTTAAAGATATACTCCTTGCTTAAGAGTCTTCTTTCTGGGGCTGGGGATGTGGCTCAAGTGGTAGCGCGCTCTCCTGGCATGCGTGCGGCCCGGGTTCGATCCTCAGCACCACATACAAACAAAGATGTTGTGTCTGCCAAAAACTAAAAAATAAATATTAAAAAATTCTCTCTCTCTCTCATACTCTTTCTTAAAAAAAAAAAAAAAAGACGACATGAAGCTGACCATGACTGTGTGTGTTCAGCTTGTTAGTTACCAGGGTGTGGGGGG